CCCGCCAACCATCTCTCTAAGGTACGCCTTCCTTAACTATGTACCACGGCTATCATCAATTGATACTAAAATTCATTTTAAAAACCATCGGACATCCGTGAAACAGGGACAGACTAAACAAAATACCAGCCTAAATTGACAAAAAATCACAAATGTCAAATTTGACACCATTCCTTAATAACCCTATAAAGTTCTCATACCTTCAGTCAAATTTGGATGTACCTAATGTTTGTTTTGAGAAAAAAATTTCACGCTCTTTTCATTGGTCCCAACAGTTTAAAAAGAAAAAATTCTGCCAAAGCTGTGTCTTGAAAGTTATAGAGCAAACTTGAAAGGACCCCGCACACCTCTTATGAGAAGATGCACCATGACGGATAGCCTTCTGACTTATGTCATTCGATTCTCCTCAAGATGCTGATCAAAAGTTAAATGAGCGCCAACTTTCTACGATGCACCGTTTTCGCAAAAAACCTATGAGAAGATTCAATTTTTCGGCGACTATGAATAAAAAAAGAACAAAGCATTTGAGGACAGGCCCGATGTAAGTAAGGAAAAAGCGTAGCGCGTGTCCATCTTCTTATCTGTACCTGCCGACTCAGGGGCTATCTCCCTCCCGCACTCGCCCGGTAGACATTCAGACTTTCCTGTTCATATGCTCCTCAAGAATCTGATTTGGATGGTCGAGCAAAACGGCGAAAGGAATCCGAGATAAGACTGCCGCTCAGTGCGGGAGTTCCCCTGATTTGTTCACTCGAGTACTGAAATGAGGAATATTTCTGGCTTTTTATCGCCGAATAATTGAATCTTCTCTTAGGTTTTTTGCGAAAACGGTGCACCGTAGAAAGTTGGCGCACATATAACTTTTGATCAGCATCCTGAGGAGAATCGAATGACATAAGTCCGAAGGCAATCCGTCATAGTGCAGCTTCCCATAATAGGTGTGCCTTAGGTGACCCTTTCGAGAAAACTTCAGCTTTTTTTTCGGTCTCTATCCCTTTAGTTCGGGACCAAACAAGTCAAAATTTAAAAAAACTAATATACATTTATAAATACTAATAAAAAAAAAAAAACACTAAGAAGTGGCCCGAACTGTACGTAACAAGGTGGAGAAATGGTGCTGGGTCCATACCATTTCGTGGGGAAAACAAAGCCAAGAAATTCCGAAAATTAAAATCAGAGTCAAAATTAAAGTTTTTGAACTCTAATGCGTACCAGCATGAAACTGAGGGGGGAAAGTGTTCAGCTCAGGCAGTTTGCATTAGAGTCCCTTTATACCCAGAGTTACGACAACTCGATTATCAGCTGACTGGCAGCCGTCCTTGGCTGGTCATGGAGGCCGAAACGAGTGCACCCAAACGAACGATATTGAGGGATAAGGATCAGGAATCCTGCGATGTCTGTCACACAAAAACAACAACCTCAACAAAGTGATCAATTAAAAAGAAAATGAGATTGGTTTGTGAATAATTTCTTAATCTATTTTCATTTTGGACCTATGAAAATAACAATCTACTCTTGATAAACCACAATTAGGTAATATTTTCATTATTCTTGTTCACATTCGAGGTACCGCCATCTTGGTGCACTCGTTTCGGCCTCCATGAGCGAGAACCAATCAGAATTGGATTTTTTTTTAGGCCACTTTCAGCCCAATCCTGGCCCAACCAAAAGTGAGTTGTCGTAACTCTGGGTATAAAGGGACTCTAGTTTGCATTGGATGCCTCGGACATATCCATGACGGCGTTTTAATGCCGTCTTGAATTTTGCGGCAGTGTTTTTTTTTTTTTTTGTTACTATTTATAAACGTATATTAGTTTTTTTAAATTTTGACTTGTTTGGTCCCGAACTAAAGGGATAGAGACCGACAAAAAAGGCTAAAATTTTCTCGAAATTTCAAGTTCGCTCTATGACCTTTAAGACACAGCTTTGACAGAATTTTTTCTTTTTAAACTGTTGGGACCAATGAAAAGAGCGTAAAATTTTTTTCTCAAAACAAACATTACATCAAAATTTGACTGAAGGTATGAGAACTTTATAGGGTTATTATGGAATGGTGTCAAATTTGACATTTGTAATTTTTTGTCAATTTAGGCTGGTATTTTGTTTAGTCTGTCCCTGTTCCACGGGTGTCCGATGGTTTTTAAAATAAATTTTAGTATCAATTGATGATAGCCGTGGTACATAGTTAAGGAAGGCGTACCTTAGAGAGATGGTTGGCNGTCTGGTATCTACACAATTTACCTAGACTATACAGGGTGTTCCAAAAGTCGGGCCCCCCCCCCCCCTCTAACTTTTGAACGGTTCGAGATGGAAAAATGAAACGAATGCTCATATCTCAAAGGGGACCATCTTTCGGGGGGTAAAAATGTTTGTCCCCCCTCAACAAGGGCCCCCAACTTTTTTTTTCAAATGGCAGCCCCTATCTTGTGATACCTCATTCGAAAGAGCATAAAAAACTAAGAATTTTGGCGTAAACCGCAGATCAATATCTTAATTTTTGACCGAGTTATCCATTTTCGAGTTATTCTATTTAACTCCGGTTCAAATTATCGTAAAGAAAAAAATAAAACGGGAAAATTTACGAAATTGTGTTCACTTTTGAGTAAAAATTGCAGAAATCACTTCGAACTAATTTTAAGGGGGGGGGGGGTTCGGACCCCCAAGTACGTCAATTCAAAGGTCATTTAATTTTCCCTCGAAGTAAGCCAATTTCCCCTAGATTTACCTCCACATTATCTAAGTAGGGTCAAAGTCAGTTCAACATTACGATGGCAAGTCCCCAAACGGGCAAAGTTCAAAAAAACGGAATTTAAACGATCAAATTTAACACCTTTTTCTTTTTTTTACAAAGTTTTCCCGCTGGCATCAGCGAGAAAGTCTTGTGCGACCCTTGCACCATGATGGGGGGGGGGCGAAGCCCCGCCATATGCCGGCGCCAAGCACCGGTACGTGGCGCTTGCGCCGCGCATAAATTGGCCTCTAAAATTAAAGATGGCTACCACAATTTGAAAACTACTTATTTATCATGATTCACAGATTTTCATGAAACTCGGTGTATCCTGGTATTTTGATCTGGTACATTCGAATTTGACGTTACTTTCAGTTTGAATAAAAATTTAAGATGGTGGAAAAAATGATGGGGGCCTTAATTTTTAAAATATCTGTTTATCGACTGATTTTCATGACGCTGAATACAAGTTTACTAAACCCAGTATTTTGACTAAAGATTGTCGGGTTTGATTTGAAAACATATAATATAAGGTAATAAGAAAGGGTAAAAAAGTAATTGAAGGGCTTGGAGGACAAGGCGCATAAGTGAAATTTTTGAAAAAAAAAGGTTCATTAGTGATTCCAACTAATTCTAGTTTTGAAATAAAGTCTGTGAAAAATTTATTGGTAACATCCAGTGCTTCAGCATCAAAATGTGAGTTTGAACTCTCTTTCCGCCATACGGCTTCATATAATTTAGAAATTATAATTCGTTTTTCTCAAAATAGCAAAAACTGTACTTATGTGCCTCCTCCTCCAAGCTCCTTAATTGATGGTATAAGTGATATAATGCAGTTTGTTTTAGTGATGTCGAATATTTAATTGACACAGATTAAGAAATACAAAGCCGAGTAATGAAATAAAATATCTACGAATTTTTTATTCGGTCAATTGAAGGCTAAAAAATTGTGAAATATTCTACGAATTGTCGCATATTTGGCTGACAAGATGCCGAGAGCAGTAAAAGGTTAATGTTTTTATTATTTTTCTTCTTATTTACTTAGATTTTCTAATTTCACAAGATCCTGCTTTACATCATGTAAAGCATAGGTGCATATCCCTCTCCCCTGTTGAAAACCCTACCCTCCATTGACATCTGTTCTTTCGTTATAATCCTTGTTCGCGCTTACGCTAGAGTTGGCCGCCCAAAAGTTCCAAACCTTCCATGGTGTTTGGAATTTATCATAATTATTAGTTTTACTATTGATTCCTCCGACGCAAAAAGACCCGCTCTCCCCGAGCTGTAAACATTACACAGCCTAATTCCTCGGGTAAAGCGCTTCGAGGCGGCGTCTGGGCTCGCACCTTAACTCCCCTCATATGTAAGATGTATCATTCTGCAATATTTTTAAAAACCCATAAATGTACAGATTTCGCCATTCTCTGTCCTATTCGTTTATTTTTACGTGAATACATGCATAAAAACGATGAAAATTGTATTCACTTTGTGTGCGTGGAGTATCTGTTACTTCTAGACTGCTGTCCTATATTTATTTGCGCTCTTTATAGAAAGCAGAAAGGAGGAGGAGGGTCAGTTTCCCCTCCTTTTATTTATTTTCTATTGCGTTAATTAATTTTTTCCCTCCGGAAATTATATTAATAACTTAACACGATTGATGGAATATTTGCTGTATTGCTATGACTTTTTTAAGGGTGTTGTTTTGCATAGAAACTCATCTTTCTGTAAATATCGCCATTTTTTAAGACTTTAAATAGAGCCGTGCATAACTCAAAAATTATCGAAATTTTTTAAACAACTGATCGTTTCTTATTGTAAATTGCATGCTTGTTCACGTAGTTACAGTGGTCATTTGATGAAACACTTCTTAAAGGCTTAAAATTGAGGAAAACAGAGCTGCAAGCGGACTTTTTTAAGAAAAGTTTCATTTTTGATACCAGAAGAAACTATCCTACTGGCAAATATTGTTACTTAAACGGACGTTGAAGACACTTTTCTGGACCAAAATTAAACGTACTTTTCAGTTACACCATTCACTTTAACTTTAAAGATCATCATAAGTGATAAAATCTCAAAAATAAATAATAAGTTAAATTTTATCAATTTTCAATAACCTTATATTATAGAAAATTTCATGAACTTTTCATTCCGCACCTTGTTCTCTTTCTTAAACGCTTTTTCACGCGTAAAAAGTAAGAAAAACCGTGGAAAGTTTTTTTCGGGCAAGTCGCAATTTTTTTCAACTTTGCCTCCGCAATTTCACTTAAGACGCCAAAAATAAATAAAGGTACATTTCTTGCACAAAATTTTACCAGCTTTTTGATGAATACCATGGTTTGATGAAAAAAATTGTTTGCAGCCATGAAAAACCACAAAAACCTGAGACAAAGCCTTGGTATTGAACAATTTGTCAATTTTTGACGTCTCAAATATTGGCTTCTAAGTACACCTTAATACCTTCAAAAATTTATTGATTAACATTTTTTTGACTTCTACGTGCATCGATGAAAACTTGAAGGCTTTTGCGGGCGGAATGTCAGTCTTGATTAATCCTGATTTTTACTTAGGATTCCTTTTCTTTTTTTAGTTGTTTTTTTTTTTTTTTTTTTTTTTTTTTTTTTTTTTTTAATAATCTTCAATTAGAAAATTCCCTCAAGAATGCTCGAAACATTTTCCAGAATGTCAACAAGATAAACTTTACTGCGGATACTTCCTTAATAGAAGTAAAATACGCAGTTTTCGCCTTAATTTTAACTTGTAAATAAATTTGAAATATCTAGTTGCACAATCTTACCATTGAAACAAAATGAGGGGGCTCTATATCCGGAGTTGTTGACAAATGTTGGAGAATAAATTCGTCTGACTGCTCTAACCAAAGGTCAACACCTCTGAGAGGATTGTAATTAAATGGTCCAATGCGCATAAGACCCACTGAACAATCATAAACATCTAAAATCTGAAATAAGAACAAACAAAACAATTATAAAAATTAAAATTTATACTCTGGACTTCTAGAATTTTGTACTGAATACACTGCTGTGTATTCCTACTCCGGTACTATTCCTCTCCTTTCCAATGAAATGTATCATGTAGCAGGGCTGCAGAAAGTTCTTAGCCAATTTATAATTTGCATTTCCCTAAAGGGGTACGTACAAAACAGGACATTTCAGGCTTGTGGCGGATACCTTTGAGACTTGCCTTATTCATTCACCAAACAATTCCTGATCTTTTCCTATAGTTTCAAGCCCCCCAAAAATTTTGGAGAGACGCAGCGAGGGGTAAAAGTTAAAAATCAGCAAAATGTTCGCGAATTTGTTACTCAAAACAGAAATTTTGAAAAACGCGGTTTAAATGAGCGTTTTATAGCGTGATGAGAGCTTTCAGAAAATGTGTAACATTATATGGTTTTGTCAAGTTCAACTTAAGTTATCTCCTTCAGAGCGCCGAAACACTAAAAAAAGACCCCCCTCCTTTTTCACGCCTGGGCCGAATCCAAAAAAAGCCATTTCTTAATTTCGGAGAAAAACTGGTATGTTGTTCCTGACTCTCTGTAGCCCCTCCAGCTCTTTACCATATGCTGGAGCCCCGTATGCTCTTTGCCGTAATGTTTTGGTCACGAGTTATAAGAGCGGATTCTTGTTTCAGCTCCCGTAGTATTTTAAAATTTAACTCCTATCTGGTGTAGGCCTGCTCTATCGGTTGTTGGTAAGCTACCGAAACAGTTCCATCAACAAAAAGTTACAATAAGAGCGCTCTTGCCGATAGCGATCAGAGTTTTCGAAGCTGACAAAAATAAGCTGTTGCCATTTGTACATCTATTTTACGCGCCGCCGCGCCAGGCAATCTGACAAAGCGACAGACGGGGCAACAATGCATTGAGTGCGAGCTCTCAAAACTCCTATGAAGTGGGCTGTTAACGATATCATTGCCACTGTCGGTACTGCCACCAGTTTTGGCGAGAGACGAAATAACCAGCACCAGCACCATACTGCAATACTGCAAATGTGTGCTGTGTCATATTTCTAGGGATGAGGTATTTCAAGTTCTGAGTATGCATAGGATGGGAAGTTGGCACATCTAAAATGCAGAGCAGTTCATTCTTGTTTTAGCTCTAGTAGTTCTAGATATTTTAAAATTAGATAACTGCCAGATGTCCTATAGGAGATGAAATAGGTGCAACAATACTTAAATTGTACTGGATTCATTTGAAGACAAAAGGGAAATACCGGTAGTATGGATAATTTTTCATAATCACACCCTTGCATACTACAATTCAATGTATTGGAATCTATCAATTCCAAGTAATCAAATTAAAAATTGAAAACTCTCTTCTTGCCCTAATAGTGTACCGACTGTTACCTACTGTAGGACGACAGCTCTTTCACCCAATTCGGACTTCAATACTGACTTTTAAAGAAAGGCATCCTCACTGCGTAACCTCTGTCACACTCTTGAATTCGCTGGCTAGTTCATTGGCGAGACCTTAGAAATATGACAAATCGCACATTTGCAGTATGGAGCTGGTGTTGCACTTATTTCATCTCTTGTATGGCACTAGATTAAGGGTGTTCAAACTAATTATTGCCGGAACGCTATTGGTTTTGTCTCTCACCAAAACTGGTGGCAGTACCGACAGTGGCAATGATATCGTTAACAGCCCACTTCATAGGAGTTTTGAGAGCTCGCACTCAATGCATTGTTGCCCCGTCTGTCGCTTTGTCAGATTGCCTGGTGCGGCGGCGCGTAAAATAGATGTACAAATGGCAACAGCTTATTTTCGTCAGCTCCGAAAACTCTGATCGCTATCGGCGAGAGCGCTCTTATCGTAACTTTTTGTTGATGGAACTGTTTCGGTAGCTTACCAACAACTGATAGAGCAGCCCTACACCAGATGGGAGTTAAATTTTAAAATACTACTGGAGCTGAAACAAGAATGAACCGCTCTGCATTTCAGATGTGCCCATTTCCCATCCTTTGCATACTCAGTGATGGATCTGTTCATCCGTCAACATTAGACGGTGAGAGCGTGAAAGTTTAATATTTTATTGACTGGTGAAATGTATTTTATTCAGTGGCTGAAACCCGTAAGTAGTAAAGTGGTCCATTGTAAGTTTTTCTTGGAAGGAAAGGTCAAAGGAAGGTCCTCGTCCCTCCAGAAGGAATGGTCTAACTCTCACAAAAACTTCGTTCTGTTATCAAATGTTGGTTGATTTATTAGAATTAATGCCTGTCTCTATTAACAGTCATGTCAATTTGTGGGTGGATCAATTTGATGATCTGTCTCCGGCTTTGTATTTTTGCAGATTGACACTTCCAGGATCTTGCCTCATCAGATGTACAAAACAGCTTGCTTAAAAGTTTCCTTCCCAAAAGCAATGTGCTTGAAAGTTTCCTTCCCCAAAAGCATCACGCTTAAAAGTTTCCTTCCCTAAAAGCAGCGCAACTTAAAAGTATCTTTCCCTACAAGCAGGGCGCTGCTTGAAAGAAACAAATAAAACAACTTGCTAGATATTTTCCTTCCCCAGAAGCAGCAAGCTTGAAATGCATCTAGCACAAATAACAATGCAGTTCCCTGGTTTTTTTCCTAAAACAGGGCAAAAAAAAAGTCTTCCCAATTTTCACACGAACTGCCTTGCAATCATGACCACATGATCGAAAGCATTCTGCACCCCTGCCATGTAGTGCCAGATGGTCGTATGATATTTGCACTTACATCTGCCTTCATCCAAGACTGCTAATTTTCCAACTTCTTCAATAGATATTGTATGTGATGATGGTACATTTTACATGTTTTTCCATCATAATACTGGGTCTGTTAGTAAAGAAAAGTGCTGTTGATTTCAGAAGTTAAACATTTTTTTGCAGATTGGCGATAAGTAAAACTGTGCACAAGACTGCAGCAGTGAAGGCACATAGTTTCTTGAGTAAAAATATGACTATATTTCGGTATGAGAGGGTTCAGAATACAGTTACAGGGTTATCATAATTGCTTCATCTTCCACTTCTCTGACTTGTTTGCTTTTTCCTAACTCCAAAATTGTTTAATTGTTTTACTTTTCCTGTTCTCTGAACAAAATTTCCACCATATTGTTTTTCTTGGATACACTGACTTTTGCTAAACTTTGGACAAAATTTCCTTGTTTCAAGATCAAATTATAGAAAGGGTAAACAGTTGGAAGATCAGTGATGTGATACAGTGATTAGTAGATGTGTCAGAAATTCCACGACTTTTCTTGGTTTTCCAGACCGTTGGCAACCCTGCTCAGTTACTACATTTTGCCTTTACTTTTGTCATAAATTGAAATTTGAGATTTTTCGCACGATAAATACATATGCCTCGCATCTAGGAGATTGCTGATAAAACTCAATTCTAAGAGCGACAAACCTACTGAATAACTAAAGCTCCGTGGAAACTGAACCAGAGATTATGGGTGAATTTACCTGCTGGCCTGCATCAGTTAATACTCTGGCTCCTCTTAGTGCTATGTCCGGGCCCTTGTCAGGAATTGTGGCAGGAAAGATCTCACCTGTTTTCACGTTCATACCTATGATAGTTAAAACACATTTTTAGATATATTTCATGATAAAATTATGGGGGAAAAGTGCTCTCGTTTTAATTTTGTTTCCATACCGTTCTATCTTCTCGGTGCAACTTTTTAGACCCTATTAAAATTAGTGAAAGGAGTTAAGAGAGGCTATTGTCATTATTTAAAAGTCCAAACTTAGAAGGACTTAATAAAAACTGTTGAATTCATTGTAAAGAAAATTTCGTTCTAGACTCATACTGATGGCATGAAAGATTTTTACATTTAATACTTACAGAGTAACAACATCATCATCTTACAAGTGATTGAAAAAATAGCTTCAGAATTTCCGATAAATCATTCCAACTGGAGAGTTATGTATAACGAATAGACAAGAGTAACTTTCGTAAATTGCTAAAATTTTCTTTACAGCATAGGTGATTAAACATGAGAAAATTTAAACAATATGGGTAAATTATGATAAATGAAAACAAAAATGTGACAGCGTGTTCCTTGGTTAATTAGGAATTTGATGAAAGAGGATGAAAATCCCTATCCATGTTATGTGTTCTTTATTTATTTCTAAGTTACATTTGCACGTCTTCAAAAATGCGGTTGACCTGAAGGAGCTAAAAGGCAGATTTTACATTTTCTACAACTTATTTCATTTTTTGTCAGCGGCTCTTCCGCTTTACTTTTCAGCTGACATCTTAGAAATTCAAATCCCAGTTGAAACTAATCAAAGCTTTTCTTTGCTTGGTGATAAAAATTGCTGAGTGTCATAATTACCAGCTCCATATAAAATAGGCCAATGAGTGCCATTCCGAACAATCGTGTTTAGCTCACCAACGACAGCTAGCACTAAATCTATCTCTACCGCTTGTTTATGGAATGCAACTGAAAAGTAACAAAGAAAAAACAGGTAAATGGAGAGAAAATTAGAACAATAATTTGGGAATGATAGTACCTCTCTTATCATCTCTACGTCTCTCTTAGCTCATTGTCAAAGTCAATTACATACTCCATTCAGAACATACTGACAATTGATGATTTTTCTCCTGTCAGATATTTAGCCAGATAGGTATGTAAATGAATTATATACCCAATAAAATCATAGAGTACATAGAGTCGTAATGTAAATGGGAAAGCTGGCGCCATGTTCTGCTCGACGAGTTCCGAGCCCCGTGTGCGCCGAGCTTGGGTCACTTTTTTGATCCACGTTCGATCCAAAATGGCTGTGTGGAATACGTGGTAATTCCCATCTTTTTTGTTTACATCGGATGGCCGGATACCCATGTGTCGCAAACAATCAATCATGTATCGAAAAAGTGACCCAATGTCACACAGGAACCTTGGATTTCGGGACCTAGAAAATGCTCAAAAGTGGCGCCAGCTCTCCCACTTACATTACGACTCTATGTACTCTATGAATAAAAGTAACTTTTAAATTAAACCTAGATTACTGTAATTTTTGCCAAAAAAGGACAAGACATAATTTTTTCCCCCCAAAAAATTGAAAAATGTATTTCATACGTGGTTTTATGAGGTAAAAACAGAAGATAAGACAATTATGGAGGGGTTTGCGCTATTACAGGACCAATGACATTGATGAAACTTAAACCCTGGATCAAAGACATCAATGAAACTTAAACCACAAATCAGTTAAGAACTAGGCACGTTTCATGCAACTAATTTTGTGATCGGCAGATTTAGTTTCAGACCATTCTTCCTAAAAAATATGTTGTTGCTTCACAAACTTTTTGCCTGCCAGTAGGTCGAATTCATGAAATTGGATTTAAAAAATTTCAATTTAAGGAATTGTACAATTGATCAGTTTCAAAAAAATGTATTCTAAAGTAAGTCATGAAAGATCTGTTTACATACCCATTAAACTATAAAACAACTCAACAGAATAATTGTGAGAGGAATAGGCACCAATGAGAGACAACTCTAATCTTCCTTCTGGATAACCATAAGACAGCTCCTGGACTCTGGCGATCATGGACATCACACCTTCATCTGTTCCGCTTCCATCGTAGTGCATCAAACCAGTGGCACCTGAGCCTGAAACACAACCATTACGAATTAAAGATCAAGAGCTCCCACTCAACAGATGCAAACATGTATTTTCATCCCATGACAAGGACACTGCGATTATTTCCAATTAATTACTATTTTTCTTTATTTCAGACACTAAGTTCTACTTAATGAAAACCAATGAACCTCAATTCGTTTGTATTTTTAAAAATAATGCATTTTATTGTTAGGAATTGATACCAAAAATGGAAATAGGAGCAAAGACAAATGGGATTGTAGTGATGATAATTGATTCTAAAAACCGGCGCGGAGCGAAGCGGAGCACCGGTTTTTAGTTTGAGTGTCCGGCCTCAGTTGTTCTGTCTTTTAAGTGACCCGCGCGTCCACCGCGGGATGAGTGTATTTTCCGAAGGGAGGGGCACGGGCGGGGAGTTATCAATTTTTGGAGGTTGGATTTTCGTTTACACGGTTGGAGGCATTGATTATTCGAATAAGGACTTCATGTCGCCAGATTGCAACAACAATCCTCATGTAATGTCTGATATGAAAAATGTCAACAAACACTGTGGCAAGCTTGAATGACAATGGATGAATCTCCATAACCCACTGTGCAACAACATTGCCGTCTTGTCCACCAATTATCAGTCTGTAGCCCACTGTGCGACAATATAGCCATCGTGTACACCAACTACCAGTTCATCAGTTCGTGACCCATTGTACGACAACATTGCCGTCTTATCCACCGATTTTCAGTTCGTGACCCACTGTGCGACAACATTGCCGTCTTGCCCACCAATTTTCAGTTCGTGACCCACTGTGCGACAACATTGCCGTCTTGTCCACCAACTTTCAGTTCGTGACCCACAGTGCGACAACATTGCCGTCTTGTCCACCAATTTTCAGGTCGTGACCCACTAAGCGGCTTCCCTCCTCTTTTACCGCACATCCCCTGCCTAAAACTTTCAAAGCTCGCCAATTTTAAACGGCTCGACCGATTTCGCTCAAATTCGATACCAGCCTAGAACGAAGTATGATCTTCCTTCTGTGAAACTTTCGAGGAGAAAGCTTTTGATTTGCGCGAGTTATCGCGCCCACATAATTGAACCTCCTCCCACTTCTCGTCCCCACCATTCGAGATGCAATACTTCGATCTCCGTCTTTTTTTTTCGCAGAATGGTAGTCCTGTTCCTCTTCTTTACATCGCAAAAAGTTTCACCCTGAAATTTTATAAAGTGAGGGAAATACAATCAAGCAAAAATCGGAAAAACCACGATGAGTCGGAAATACATACATAAATAAACACACACACACACACACACACCCTCACACACCCTCACCCTCACACACACACACCCTCACACACACACACACACATATATATATACATACACACATACATACAGGGTGGGCCAGAAGTTCCAGGACGGTCGGCTAACTTTTGAACGGTTCGAGATAGAAAAATGAAACTTTGGGAATGTTCCTATCTCAAAGGGGACCATCTCTTGGGGGAGTCAAAATTTTGGTCCCCCCTAAGGGAGGGGGCGGGGGGCCCCCAACTTTTTTTTTTTCAAATGGCAACCCCTATCTTGTGATACCTCATTCAAAAGACCATAAAAAACTAAGAATTTTGGCGCAAACCGCAGATCAATATCTTAATTTTTGACCGAGTTATGATAGGATCAAAGGTCAAATTTGACCTATTTTCAAGAAATCACAACTTCGGTTCAAATTATCGTAAAGAAAAAGATAAAACGGGAAAATTTACTAATTGTGTTCGCTTTTTTGTAAAAATTGCAGAAATCACTTCGAACTAATTTTAAGGGGGGGTTCGGACCCCCAAATACGTCAATTCAAAGGTCATTCAATTTTCCCGCGAAATCAGCCAATTTCCCCAGGATTTGCCTCCACATTATCTCAGTAAGGTCAAAATCAGTTCAACATTACGTTGGGCAAGTCCCCAAATTTCAGGAAAAGTTTAAAAAAAAAACCAATTTGAACGGTCAAATTTAATTACCTTAAATTGCGTTTTTTTAACTTTTCCTGAAATTTGGGGACTTGCCCAACGTAATGTTGAACTGATTTTGACCTTACTGAGATAATGTGGAGGCAAATCCAGGGGAAATTGGCTTATTTCGCGGGAAAATTGAATGACCTTTGAATTGACGTATTTGGGGGTCCGAACCCCCCCCCCCCTAAAATTAGTTCGAAGTGATTTCTGCAATTTTTACAAAAAAGCGAACACAATTAGTAAATTTTCCCGTTTTATCTTTTTCTTTACGATAATTTGAACCGAAGTTGTGATTTCTTGAAAATAGGTCAAATTTGACCTTTGATCCTATCATAACTCGGTCAAAAATTAAGATATTGATCTGCGGTTTGCGCCAAAATTCTTAGTTTTTTATGGTCTTTCGAATGAGGTATCACAAGATAGGGGTTGCCATTTGAAAAAAAAAAAGTTGGGGGCCCCCCGCCCCCTCCCTTAGGGGGGACCAAAATTTTGACTCCCCAAAGAGATGGTCCCCTTTGAGATAGGAACAGTCCCAAAGTTTCATTTTTCTGTCTCGAACCGTTCAATAGTTAGCCGACCGTCCTGGAACTTCTGGCCCACCCTGTGTGTATGTATATATATATATATATATATATATGGCATAAAAACGGCATGCATATTCGTAATCTACGACCCATGATCGATGCTCATTACATGGTCTTTGGTCCAGGTCTGACATCAGGGGAGAACGCAATAGTGTATTTCCTTTGGAAAATACACTATTCGGAAAATACACTAAAAATTAGTTCTCCTCCTTCTTTAAATGGAGTTGCAAGAAAGTACTCTGATAACTATATAGCTCTGGGAGGCTGGCAATAAGTAAAATTTTTCTTTCATAAAAATGGTATCTAGATACGTAAAGAATGAATGAGTTTGAGGAAATACAATACTTATCCCCTCATTCAAGATTTTTTGTCTTTTGCTTCTTTATATATAAAAAGATTGTTATTGATTGTCTCCTTAATAATTAAAATATCTGTAGGAAATGTGGTTTTCTCTCTCCATTTATGACTAAAAAAAACTTCTGTTATCACTTGTCAAGAAAGGGTGCATTTTCTTGGAAGGCTTAAATTACTATCTTGTGAATGCTGAGATTGTACATTACCTACCATCAAATCGCAAAGCAAATAAATAAAACGGTTCAACATCTTAGCATAAAAGCAATCTGCACATTGTCTCTCTTTCAAATTGTGAAAAACAAGGGAATTCGATGAAATGAACAATTTTCAGTGAACGTTTCCATTTCGCCTAATGCTTCCTCACATAAAAAGCTCACAAGGGTAGTTATACTAGACACAATGAAAACTTCCAAAATTTTATATGAGTACAAAGAAAAATCAGAGCAGTCTTTCATTCTTACCAGGATGCCTCAAAAATACAAGTATACAGGTTGTGACATTATCTCCAGCAAGGATTGTAACGTGTTCTAGAAAAGAAAACAGTCACATTTACCTTTCAGAAGAAAAAAAAATAGAGCAATAAAAAAATAGTATTACAATAGACTAATGGTAAAATTCCAGGAGGGTAAAGAAAATAATTTTTAAGAACATCTTTCAATTCAATGAGCATGCGCACAGAGGATGCAGATAGCATTACAACAGGTTCGATTTGGTTCTGTAGTTCGTCTTGGTGTATTTCAAATACCTACGTGACCAAATTTCATTTTACAGATGAACGAAAGTTTACTTGTAAAAAAGCGATCTTGGAGGGAATCTTAATGAATGAGACTTCCTTTTACTATTACTTTTGGTTTGGTTTTTTCGAGGATAAGAAATGATGAATCACACAAATGTTTCAAGATGGATCTATCAAAAATCTGATTTGAAGAATAAATGTTAGCCCTGTAGAAATTACGATTGAGCACCAGGGAGAACTCCGGTGGTGGAGCCCGCAGGTGGTATCACGAAATGTCAACATTACCACGGTGGACCGCCATCGTCTTCGGCTGGCTGGGTGCCCGGGAGATTTGAAAACTATGGTATCTAGTCCGCCGTCAGGAGGTGCGGATTGAGGGCTTCGAGCGTTTTTATAGCTCAACCGATCCGAGCGAAGCGGCTCACACTGTGGTATTTGACCGAAAAACCTGGCCAAAACCTCAAGTTTAATTTTTTTTTTAGTGGAAAACCAATGTGATATTCGAAATCTACACTGTTTTTTACCCTGGTAGACATGTATGTACCATTTTTCGAGTGGCTCAATTTCCCGCGAAGAGACCACGAAGTTACCTATTTCTCAGCGATTATTTTGATATGTTTCGGGGCGCTACTCGTCGATCAGTTTACTTCAACGGTGCGATCATAAGAGGGAAGTTCGGCGATATGCAACACATTCTTAGGGGTATATTCTACACAACTAACCACAGTATTTTCGAAATTTCTTTTTTTAGTGATTTTCACGGGAGGTTGAAAAGTGATGTAAAAGTAAACGTTTTTTTCGAAATTCAGAGGCCGATATCTTTTTTCTCTCAACTGTTCTCAAGCAGTTCGAGGCGGGATGTTATAGTCGGAAGTGGGTATTTTCAGAATTCAGGGGTGACCGACTGAGGAAAACTGAGGAAATTGAAATTTATTACCTTGAAGATGGACTTTTGAGCGATTTTCACAAACATGAATGGGAAAAATTATGTCGATACTAACGACTGAAATTGTATTTTTCCAACAGCTCTGACCCATTTAGTACCAATTGGGTGATATTCGGTCACGCAAACTGTTTCTTTGGCCCCTACGCCCTCGAAAGAGGGATAAAAAATAATTTGAAAGCGGATGGGAGGGTCACTTTAAAGTCTTGCAAAAGTGTTTAATCCGTTATCTAACAATCCTTGAGTGTAGACGAATTTATGCCATGATTTACTTTGACAGACAAATTTGAGTCCATGCGGCCCCGGGGATGGGGCTTTAAAAGTGGCCCTCTGGCACCATGTACTTATGCTGTGAGGCACATTTGCAGCCTCGTAAAAGTGAGATATGTGGTTTTCTTACGAATTTCGTAGTGAAGTGCCTCACTTTGAGATGTGGACCATGGGTTAGGAAGGAACCCATCAAAATGAATCATTTTCACAGGTACTTTCTGTCCTTACAATGGTTCTTATTATGATAAAACTCATTTTCATCTTATAAATCCTCAAATCATCATACGGAGGTCCCGGCACTTTCATACTAGCACTAATTTTGATTCAAAAATGTCAAAAATCTAATACCTAGAATGATTCATATTAATTTTTTTGAGAAATGTACAATTACTCCTCAATGTGAGAGATCGGCTGTTTCGTCAAAAATTTTGAAGTGACTTACGCTGTTTTAAAAAAAACCATTAATGAGGTAATAGAAAGTCCTTATTTCGAAAAGTAGACCATAGATGAAGGAGAAACTCGTCTAAATGCACCGCTTTAGTTAGATACTTTGCGTCCTTTTAAAGGCTTTTTGGAGGGCTTCTTGCACCCTCTTTAAACTCTCCGCAAATTGTCATATGATGTGTTGGGTGGTTAAATTGTGCATATTATCACTTAAGAAGAAGTACTGATTGTAAAATATTTTTAAAACTCGGCGATATCTGGTGATTAATAGTTTTGGCCGGCTTTTCAGGTCCAATACCACAGTGTGCGGCTGCTAAACGAATACTTACACTGAACTCAAATATGATTGTTTCATGTAATATGCCGGGATGGGCAAAAGAAGTGCTTGATACTTCTTAACTTTTTCAATGTTTGAGCTAATGTTTCGGTTTGGACGGTTGTTCTAATCATCGACGTGACTGTGTCGGGATGTTATGACCCCCCCCCCCCCCCCAACCCCCCATAAAAAAAGTTCTCTCTACAGGTAAAAAGTCCTCACAGTCTAAAAGTTCTCAGAAAGTCCCAACCGGAAAATTTAAACTCTAACATTGAAAAAGTTATGACATACCTATCGAGCGTTCTTTTTGCACATCGCGGTAGGACATGCTACTTTAAAAGAAGAGAAAAATCAAGTTTATTTTCCATGAAATTAAAAAAAAAATGAGGCATTTTCACCGACTCGTTTCTGAAAATACGGAAATGAGACATTGATTTTTACACGCAACTTCAGCAGAGTTTTTCACTTTGATTGAAGAAATTTGAAGTTCATTTTATTAATCCTTCCATTTTAAGGGGGTGCATAATGAAGGTGAGATCACTTAACCACAATCCTATCTCCAGTTGCATCATTTCAGATGTTGTTTAACATTTTACTATTTTGAAGGATAACTGATCGGTACATTGAGTAAAATTGTGTGTAATGCAGCGATTCTCAGACGCAATCAATCCATATTCCTCGCACAATCGAAATTTTTCTAGGTTCACCATTGATGTATATGTCTAATCACATTAAAAGATAAAAATAAATAAAAAAAAATCCACTTAGCGCCCCAGCTAAGTGACATTGGAAAAGATATTAAAAAAAACTTAACTTCCTTCCAAGTATCGGAATGAAAACATCCTGAAGACCTCTCTTTTCAAATCATGGTAAAAAATTAAGAGGAAAACGTTACTCCAAAGTTCATCTTTAATTAAGTCTATTATTGGACATAGCCTTTCTCTAATGAAGAGAAGTAAGACATTAATGGAGACGTCAGGCTTTTATTGTTCATTAGTCAAGGGCAAATTAAAAATCGAGACCTATTTACTTATCTTCTTGAAGGGTCAGAAACAAAGCATTTTAGTTTAATTTATATCCATTGATGAGATTTCCTGATCCATCATGGATGGAGCAGCCGCCGAGGAAACGATTATGACAAAAAAGTTGACAGAAACACCAGCATTTCGCGCGCGCCCGGTACGCGTCTCTCTCCCGAGTTCTGATGACGTTTCATAACTCCACCACCACCGGGTGGCGGCTCCTATGGGCCTCCACCACCGGAGCTCTCCTCGGTGCTCAATCGCAGAAAGACACATGCATTATTGAACCCAACCTATTTCTTCTTCCTAGTAAGACCAGAGAGGAGAAGACGACGACGACTACGACTACTATTACTACTACTACTACTCCTCCTCCTGCTGCTGCTAGTAGAAGTAGTAGTGGTAAGACATAGTAAGAAGTAGTTTACTGGTAAGACTAGTAAGTACCAGAGTTTCACATATTTATGCTAACTTTTGTGTTACAAAAGAATCCACTCTTCTGTGGCCACAGACGAGACTCACACGAAATTGCAGCTACTTCTTGCTCGGTGATCTAAAATTACTGACTTGCGCGTGAAGTAATAAATTAATTCCAAAAGGAACTTACTGCAAAAGAAAATTGAACTTGGAAAAGCAACCATCTATAATAATCTAGAACATCAGTAATAACAATAATTGTCATTGTGTGAGGTACAGTTGCGATGTTCCCTGATCCCCTATCGACGAGCCAAGGTAAGAATACTAAATACGCACTGTCATGGGGAACTGTGATGGCCATCTCACGCTGCCGGACGCATAGGAGTCCAACGGGGCCAGGACCCACCACTTTTGGCGGCACAGAGTGTAGCTGCGTCGCCGACTCTCGATACACCGGGTGGTTTATGTAGAACATCTTGATGTCCGCGGGAGCCTCTTCCTGTACTACACCGTTCAGGAACAGCACCATCTTTCCGACCCCTTATACCTGCAACATGCCAAGAAAACCGGCTCTGTAGGTTTCGAAGATCACGCTGACTATGTATGTTTCTGTACAGATAGCAGAGAATAATTAATAATTCCGCAAAATAACGCGGTCCTCCGACACTTTTTGCTCGTAGCGACTCTAACAAGTTTGAAACATTGTTTTCATTCCGTTAGAAGTCATTATCAGTAGGCTATACTTGATGAGGCAACCAACTCGACTAGATATAGATTGCTTTACACACATTTAAATGGGTTCCCGACTCGGGAGAGCCGGTTTATTACCCACGGACGTGACGTTCCTGCTAACAGTTTATGCGGTGTACTAAAAAAGCTCGACACTAAATGAATGAACATTGCCGCTTTCGAGGCTCATCCTCAGAGTCACTAGAAGCTCTTTTAGAGGGGGAAGCTCTCTATGGACCGTGCAGGAACTAAAATTATGGCAGTGTATGAAAATCGCGTATCTGCCGAATGGGTCAGTTGCGCTGGTCACAGAATCTTGCCTTGATGATTGATTCTTGTAGATGCGCTGGAAATAGTAAGATCTGTCTGAACCGCAACTACCTGTCTACATCCAATTTTAACCGAGATATATCGCCCTTTGAAAAGTCGGGTTCTTGACGTCATCAACCGCGGTAGTGACGTCCTTGGTTTCTTCCACCTTGCATTTATCAATTAGGTAAACACAACTTTACACTGCACCATGAAACTTGGATGAAAGCAAGGTGGAAGAAACCAAGAGTGTCACTACCGTGGTGGATGACGTCAAAAACCCGACTTTTCAAAAACAAAGCTTTTTTGAGTTCGTTACCAAGTTCTTTTGTAACATTGTTGCAATTTTTGGTCAAAGCGTGTCTATTCTTGCCCTCTACTAAAACAGCGAGATCATCTGCGTATCCTTTTTTCTGCGAGACAATGGTGGTGGTGTACTCTATTATTTTATCATAGCAGATATTAGCATCCGAGATATAGCAGACTCCTTGTTTATTTATAACTACTGAAAAAAAAATTTTGCTAATGATAATCAAACGCGGGGAATTGTCCTGGCGATGAAGTTGCCACGCGGGGAACTGGGCAGCGATGAATAGTCTCGCGACGAATTGTCCACGCGAGGAATTGTCCGGCGGAGAATCGGTGGCGACGAACTGCGAACTGACCGAACACCTCCATGAGTGAGGGCCGACCCTTGACTCCTTGAGGGACTCCACTGTTTATTTTGAAGTTAAGGTCGTTTATGTTTACAAAGCGGTCCGATAAGTAGCTCAGGATGATACGGATTAGATAAGATGGAATGTTTTTGTCTAAAAGTGATTCATGTACATCTTCCCAGCTTAGCGAATTGAACGCGTTTTTGATGTCGAGGGTGAGAAGAGCCAAACAGGGACGATGTCTTAGATCAAGGTGCAAATTCTTTACGATGACGTCTCTAACTTTATTAATTGCTTCAGTAATGGAGAAACCCTTCCTAAAACCATGCTGATTTTGCGAGGAATGGCTGCCGCAAGGTGCCTCTTCAAAATCACTTAATCGAGTATTGAGGGGCAGGGTATGCAACCCGCTTGACTAAATTTTGGGAAAATCGTATTCATACAAGTAGGTACCTCTCTATAACAAGAGTTTCAAATCGATTGCCCCCTTAAAATAAAACGGCATGTTGGACAGCCGCGCGCGCTGCATAGCTCCCGGTGTGCGCGCCCCGCATAGTGCTCTCCGCGGGCCAGAGATTCGGTGCCCGCGAGCGAGTATTGTCACTGGTAATTTTTACTTTCTCGCTCCCCTAGGGTAGAGAGGAAGTATTGTCATCCTCCAAGAAAAAAAAGAAAGTTTAAATTTCATCATTTCTAGACGTTTTAAGGTCCCAGGAGTCAAAATAACCATTCTTGAAAAAATGTGTGTCCGTCCGTGCGGCGTCCCCCAAATCTGTCTACAGCGATATCTCAGAACCTATCTGTTCGATTTCATACCAAATTCTCACAGAGCACCATATATATGGTCTCGCATGTCAACCGATTTTGGGGTACGCTAAAATTTGGGGGGGGGGGGCTACGCTAAATTGTCCATTTTTAGCAAAATTACACGGAAAGCTCATTTTGAAAGACTGTAAATTTTGGATAATGCCTTTAATTATTTAACAATGGGCATCAAGCACATCACCTGGGTCATTAAAAGATCTTTGGACCAAACTCAAAATTCAAGGGATTACGAGGCCCAAAAGTAGGGCGCTTTGCTCCGCGACATCACACAAATAGCTCATTTTTAAAGACTGTAAATTTGAAGAAAAATGCCTTTAATTCTTCGAAAGTTGGCGTAAGAGCACCACCTGATTCATTAATTTAAGTTCCTATGAGGTCTTTGGACTAAACTAACAATGGAAGGGTTACGCGTCATATAGCAAGGAGAGCAATTCGATCACACGGAGAGCTCATGGACTGTAGATTTTGAAAAAAATGCCTTTAATTCTTTGAAAGTTGGCTCAAAAGCACCATCTGAGTCATTAATTTAAGTTCCTAAAGGATCCTTGGACTAATCTCATAATTGCAGAGGGGCCGATAGGAAACGCTCAATTCTCCGATAAATGAGTCGGAACCCTTCTAGATAATAGCAGCAAACGCTTTGAGTCAGGTGAAACCTAGGATTTCAAATGCGTTATATAGTGCATCATATACTATTTCCAAAATTACTCCGTAGGTATACGCCAAGGAAAATTAGACAACAAATTAGGTACTTACATTACATACTATGAATCATCGAAGCTAACGCAAGAACTGACACTTAGATCTTTATTAGAAACTAATATGTTTGTTGTTAATGAATTTAGAATCCCGGCAGATTCCATCTTTCGCGGTTCCTTTTTACGAGGTACTGAACACAAATATAATATAATAATACTGCACAAACATGATTGATTTATTGATTGATAATAAAAGGGGGTTATAACCCGTTCAGGTTTGTTGACGTTTGTTGTTGTTGTTGTTGTTGTTGTTAAAGTACACAGGTATACGAGCAGCAAGGAGATGACGCTCTCTATTGTTTCCGCTTTGATTTACGGGGATACGCGGTAAGGAGATGGCGCTCTTGGCGGGCGTGTGGTGAACCTTCCAGCAGGTAGATTCACCTGCCAAATTTAAAAAATGGGAGATGCTAGGCGAAAACCGTTTAGTTTAAAGACTATTTAAACATCGAATAGTCATTCTACTCATTAGATATTTGATGGCTTTTGACCGTGCTTAAGGAAAGATAATAATATAAAATCGCACCTGAAGTATGATGTCAATGAATTTAATGGATCCTAATGAATCGTAGAAAAGCTAAGATTTTCACGGATCGCCGTCTTTAATAGGAGACTTCGTTAATCAATTACATATTTAATTGAAGATGCCTCATAAAATCAATAAGTCGAGCCCGAATATATGAATTCATCACATATCGCGAAGACGTTTACAATAAAGTTCAGTGGTTTGAATGAAAATTTCATAATTATCATCCTGCGATCAAAATTCCAATCAAACTATATGATTTTGTAAAATTGGCAGTATTTTTCTAAATATTCCAGCAAAAGCTAGAAAATGTTGTGCGATCTTCGCACCATGATGGGGGAGGGACGAAGCCCCCCCACATGCCGGCGCAAAGCGCCGGTACGCGGCGCTTGCGCCGCGCATAAATTGGCCGGAGGCCAATTTTTTTTTGTATCATCAATAAAGGTACTATCATTTTGGTGTCTTCATTGAAACATTGAAGGATAAAATATCAAGAAACTAGCGACCCGTACGTGCTTCGCACGTATAAAACATACAATCAGAGAAAACAGAATTCATCTCACAATAATCAATAATCAGTAGGACATGAATCGTTGCGATGTATTATACGACATTATAATGTGGCATTACTATTATAATGCATTACAATTTGGATTATAGGCATTATAAATCATTATTTGCCACTTGTGTCTTTCCGAAAGAAAATGGGGCATGTTNAGAGATAACAGCTGACTCGCTTCATCCAGGTTTGAGCGTTGGACTGCCAGAGTGTGTTCTGAATTAATATGTAACGATATATACCGTTACACAATTTAACAGGATCCTAAGGTACTAAACAATTGATTTACAAAAAAAATTCACCTTCAAATAGTGACAAAAAAGTAAAAACTCATGAAAATGGCTGTTGCAAATCATTATTGAGCTAACCTCAATTATTTCTTCTTCTTCTTCTTCTTCTGTTGGTTTACTGGCTTATATTCCAGATGTGGAACCTACAGCCATAACCTCAACTTCTATTATCACTATGACAGATGTAAACAATCGTCCATTGACTACAATTTTCCACAAAAATAGGGTCTATACCGTCGCTTCTTATTTATGTAATGAAGGTTTTAACCATTTAAACTTCCAAAGAATCCATTCCTGAATTCCATTTCAATCAAAAATTCATCAATTGACTCGATATTTGCACTTGAAAAACGGCTGCCAATTCCTTATGGGAAAATATAATGTAAGTGATGAAAAGATCAGATTTGTCATGAGATATGACGAAGCGAGCGTACCGGATCCGTTTCCGCGTAAAAGTGAACGTTTTGAATGGGTCGGTTCCAAATACAGCTTCATTTGAGTTTGAGAGGTTATTAAAAGCTTTATTAGTAGCGCCATCGTTCTTTTCGTAAAATTTTCAATCGGAATTAGTTATCCATTCGCCAATCCCTGCACCTTGCAACAGGCCCATGCGGGAATGATTTGATCAAATATCGCGCGAAACGTTCAATTTGTGTAATCTTTATTCCCGTCTGTGACATCCGTTGTCTTAACTCTTTCTTTAAAATGACTCTAGTCCAGCCCATCTTCGCAAGGAGTTTATGGAACGCATTGGATAGTGGTTCGATGTATCGTTTGGTTCAAAACAATGGAACTTCATCTCAAACATCGATTTTAGGACTTAAGTTGGAAAAGGTGATAATGGTCAAATTCTTCTTATTTTCACCATGCATTGCCATTTTGTACCTACTAAAAA